AAATAGTTCACCCAGCCCTGGCTCCTGTTTAATGGATAATGATTAATCAGTGCTTGTTCATATAGGCTCATAAAACATATGTTCCCGCCCTCTCAAAGTCCAAGCTCAGAAGTAGATAAAGGCATGAGGTAGCAGCTGATCGACAGATTAGATTGGCAGTTGTTTTGTTTGATAACAAACCAGGACCAGACCTGTGCTTCATTGGTCAAACATGCATAATTATCACGTTTCAGGAGAAGGCCCAAATGCAGACAGTGTCAAAGTAACAAAAGCTTATTACAAAAACAGGGGACAGGCAAACGACAGGTCAAGGGCAGGCAGAGGTCAGTAATCCAGATCAGAGTCCAAAATGTACAGAACGGCAGGCAGTCTCAGGGTCAGGGCAGGCAGAGGTCAATAATCCAGGGTGGTGTGACAAGGTACAGAATGGCAGGCAGGCTCAGGGCAGGCAGAATGGTCAGAACCGGGAAAACTAGAAAACAGGAACTTGAGAAAGAAAGGCGCTGGTAGGCTTGACGAAACAAATCGAACTGGCAACAGATAAACAGAGAACACAGGTATAAATACACTGGGGATAATGGGGAAGATGGGCAACACCTGGAGGGGGGTGGAAACAATCACAAAGACAGGTGAAACAGATCAGGGTGTGACAAAAATGCACAAACAAGATGGATGAATCTCAGCCCTATTTCATTAACCAGTTGGACTGGTTTTATCATTTTAATTGAAAACAATCACAGTAAAGGTACTTAACTGTTACCCAGAAATGATTTGATATTGAGATAAAAGCGGCTGCAATGGACATTTAAAGAAATTGTGTCAACGATATTGGACATCATACCTGCTGTATTTCAAAATAGCCCGTTAAACAGTATTATCGTATATACCGCCCCAACCCAAGCTGTGTGTATGGCCATGGGTATGGGAATCTGTGTGCTTCTCCACATGAGTGTACTAGGGTCCTCTCCTTTGACCACCAATAGCAGGATGTGTGTCCGCCCATCTCTAGCTCTGAAGAAGCCTAAAAGGCCTATCATTAAAACCAACATTTCTCTTTACTCACCATTAAAGACTAGACATGTGTACTCTGTAATAACTATGGGCAGAACCTAGTTTGAGAATTCAGTTCAGCACAAATCACTCTGACTTTTACAGGAATCATGCATGTCAATGGGAGATTTTCATGAAAATGTGAGTTCCCCACACCAATCTAATGTTAGGATTCTTCCCTAGCGTCTCAGTCAATTAATGAAGCATACCAGATGTTGCTATGCAGTTCTGTAGAACAAAAAATAAATACACACTGTTATGTGCTCCCAAAGTGTAATTTATTAGGATAGCGTTGCGACCCCAATCTTGGTCTTCGCCAGGACAATGTTTTCACCAAAACATTGTCCTACTAAATTACACTTTGGGAGCATAATACCAGTGTGCAGATGTATTTTTTTTCTACATTATCCTCTCTAATCCAGCACCAACAAGTGTTGTTATGGATGTGTGCATACCACCCTACTACTTTCCTATTCAGTTCTTCCTATTCAGTTCTTGCCTTGCTCTCAATCAGAGCCCTGCACTCCCGTGTTAGAGAGTGCAGAGAATGTGTGCTTATAGAGTCTCTACCAGGGCCCAACACTTATTTTGAAAAGTGGTTGCCAAGCTGGGTAAGCAGGTTGGTTGCCAAACTCACTTCTTTGGTGCATTTTGGTAGCCCTGGCAACTGGGCAGTGGGCAACCGTTAATGTCTCCCCTGTTTTAAGTGAGAAGTAGAGATAGACAAATAATATTAGCTAGCCTCACAGATTAATGGGAAATATTCATATGGCTTATTTTAGCCAGTTTATTACACTGTGTGATTACCTAAGGAAACACACACATGCACACACACACGTACACACACTATCCATTTGCGGAAAAGAGGTAGTCAAGCAAACGTTGAAAAATAACCTAGATACAGTAATGTCTGCAAACACCTCTGTCCTATTTTCAGGCCTCCCTGTTTGCATTTGTGTGTTTGTACACCTGCATCATTTCCCATCCAGAAACCAAACCTACCTTCACATTTAACATTTAAGTGACCTACAAATTGGTGCAGTCAACTTATGATAGCCAGTGGGACAACCACACCATTTTTTGTTTTGTTTGTTGTTGTTTTTTTATGGGGGGGGGGGGGGGGGGGGGGGGGGGGGGGGGTAGAATTATTACTTTTATAATATAATATGCCATTTAGCAGACGCTTTTATCCAAAGCGACTTACAGTCATGCGTGCATACATTTTTACGTTTGGGTGGTCCCGGGGATCGAACCCACTACCCTGGCGTTACAAGCGCCATGCTCTACCAATTGAGCTACAGAGGACCACGAGGGCACTTTTATACTATTCCAGGTATTCCTTAAAGAGGTAGGGTTTCAAGTGTCTCCGGAAGGTGGTCAGTGACTCCGCTGTCCTGGCGTCGTGAGGGAGGTTGTTCCACCATTGGGGTGCCAGAGCAGCGAATAGTTTTGACTGGGCTGAGCGGGAACTGTGCTTCTGTAGAGGTAGGGGGGCTAGCAGGCCAGAGGTGGATGAACGTAGTGCCCTCGTTTGGGTGTAGGGTCTGATCAGAGCCTGAAGGTAAGGAGGTGCCGTTCCCCTCACAGCTCCGTAGGCAAGCACCATGGTTTTGTAGTAGATGCAAGCTTCAACTGGAAGCCAGTGGAGTGTGCAGAGGAGCAGGGTGACATGAGAGAACTTGGGAAGGTTGAACACCAGACGGGCTGCAGCGTTCTGGATAAGACCCAAACTGACAGCTTACCTACAAAGACTAAACTAAAATAGCACAATATGTACGATTCTATATGATAACTGCAACAATAAACAGTAGGCTATTACACAGCAATACTCTATAACAAGGACTGTATCTAATAAGCATTTATTACATAGTGGAGTAGGCTAATGACTAGCATGTTTGCTAACAAGTATTATACCACAGCATTGTTGAATACTTGTTTCTGATTGGTTAGAAGGACATTCTAGAATGGACATTAAAACCAGATAACGGGACAGTTGAAAATATATCGGGACAGTTGGAAAAGATATTGGGACACCTTGCACTCATGATGCAATATGGGCCTACACATGCAGATCGTACTTGCTACAAAGTTACAGAAAGCTAAACCAACAACCACACAAGCCGAAATTGGATACATTGTAAATGCAGGTCCAACAAGGAAAAACTTAGCTAGCTAGCTACCTGTTTTTGCAGAGACATATTTGTTTTGAGCATCTGACAACTGTCACGCCCTGACTCTAGGGACTCGTATTTGTTGAGTCAGGATGTGTATTTTCTGTGTCGTGTTGTGCTATGTTGATTGTCTATGGTTAGATCTAGTATGTGTAGATCGATGTTGGCCTGTGTGGTTCCCAATCAGAGGCAGCTGTTGCTCGTTGTCTCTGATTGGGGACCATACTTAGGTAGCCTTTTGGCACCTGTTAGTTGTGGGATCTTGTTCCGTGTTATGGTATGTTTGTGTGCGTCCTTGGACTTCACATTTCGTTTGTTGTTTTTGTCGTGTGTTTATTCGCTTAATAAACATGTATGCTTACCACGCTGCGCCTTGGTCCGTCAAGTCTATAAACGAACGTGACAACAACATAACGTGGCGAGTGATGAACATGAATTTCTCCAGTCCCTATGTTGCAGTCATGGCGTAAGTGGCGCTATGCTGTCAAATCCTCCCACATTTCTAGTTTTACCTGCTGTTTTCAGCAACTGGTATTTTAGAATTTGGTTGTCAGATTGTAAGGTTTTCTAGCAACAAACTGTTTAGCTAGCTTCTAGTCTAGTTTTTGATATGCAATGCGATCTCCTTGTAGTTAACAGTGTCGAGTGTCCTGACGAGAAAGCGAACTTTTCTCACTATGCCAGGCATTGTTATGGATGTATCCAATTGAATGTCAATAGAAAACAGCTTAAACAAACGCAAATGCAGCTACTTTTCTGTTATTCTGGCTGCAGAGTGTTAGCCATAGCTAGTTGGCTAGCTAGCAAGCAAGGGACAAGAACGTTGCCGGAACATATAGAACGAACAACTGGGTCACGTCCATAAATATCGAACTAATCAAACAAACTAATCGAACGAACGACTAGCAACCCAAATAATTCTCTTACAAAAATGTACATATCAACTAACTGTTTTTTTCTATCGGTTAATGTGTCCTTTAGCATGGCAACTGTGGTATAAGCAGGATAAACGCCTCCGTTCTGTACATTACCTTTGAAAAATGAATTCCACAAAGGGACTCGGCTCCACCTTGTCCCGCTGCGTCATCCATTATTTCCAAGGTAATGTACAGAACGGAGGCGTTTATCCCTTACATAAACAACGGCAGTGTAAGAAAGGACTGTATTTACATGACGGTAAGTTACCTACAGCAGAGCTACAGGTGAAGGAGACAGCAAACATACATCACATAATAATAGTTATCTTATGACTACTCCCAAAAGCCAAGTTAAACAACAACTACAACTAACTTTGTGTTCACGCATCCCATGCACATAACTCCACCCATGATAACACTGTCAGGCTCAGGGCATTATTTATACCCTTTCGGGAGCGTGCAATGGACCTGTCTGACCAGTGCAGGGCTAGCTATGAGCATCTGACAAATCAGATCATGCATGATCAGTGCATGGACAGAGTGTGGGGTGCATGGGGAGAGTATGATTGGCTGAAGCCACGAGCTTGGGGTGATCGATATCTCTCAAGTGAGGGGAAGCTAGACTACATGGACCAGACAGATATAAACAACAACACACACGCTAGACATTAGTCCCACAGTTCCCTCAGCAGGGGGATTCTGTAACACATAAGTAAAACAATTATGCACACATGACTAAGTCGCTTTGGATAAAAGTGTCTGGTAAATGGCAGATATATATTATTATTATATAACCTTGACTGGCCACTGAAAATCGATATCCTAGGAACTGTGTACATAGGCCTACATGATCCTGTCAATAATGTCTGTGGGAAGTAGGGGTGCTGAGGGTGCCGCAAAACCCCCTGATAAATCACAATGAAAAAATATGATATTAATATTTAACCCCCCAACCCCCCCTCCCCTCCCCAAAATAAAATAAAAATCACAAAATTTGTGCAATAGGCCTTTATTACTACTGTATGAGCGGAGCAAAATACTCGTCAGGAGAAGTGCCCCCCCTTTTTAAAAAAACAACAACTCGCCAATGCATACCATAAGACTAAAGTGATGCTTTTATGATAGCAATAGCTGACAAATTGGAGGTATACAAACAGTGCTATTTAAATAAAATAGTAGTGTGTGCAAAGAGTCTATAGTGTCTGGAAGCTGTCCAGCTACTGCTCTCAGAGCAATGCCACCTAATCACACACACTGAGAGCAAAAACAGCAGTGCCCTGAAGACCTGTCAGGAGATTCACACCTACAGCACTCTACTGTGTGTAATTGATAATTGCTCGTTTGCTAATTCAGCTATTTGCTAAACGTGTTTTCCTCATTTAGCAGATGCTTTTATCCAGAGCAACTTACAGTAAGTAGTGAGTGCATACATTTTCGTACTAGTCCCCCATGGGAATCGACCCACAACCCTGGCATTGCAAGCACCATGCTCTAACAAGTGAGTCACACGGGTGTCATCATCTCATGTATTAATTTTCTCTTCCCTTTCTCTCCCTCCCCCTCCCTCTCGCAGTCTCGGTCACGGACGTGGAGTGTGTACGCGAGGGCTTGCAGTCGGAGACCCTGCGGCAGCTGACGGGCTCAGTCCCCGAGGGCCAATGTCTCACTGTGGTGTTCAAGGGGGCCAGGAAGAGTCTGGACCTGCGCTGCCAGACTGACGAGGAGGCCCAGCGCTGGGCACGGGGCATCAGGACCCTCCAGGAGAGGGTGGAGAACATGACCCAGAAGGAAAAGCTGGACAAATATCCTTTATGGTTGATGATGGTGATGATGATGATGATGATGATGATGATGACAAGGTGTTTTCTGGATCAAAATTGGGTTTAGGTGGTGGGCCAATGGTACAGCCCTCCTGTTGGCCACAGTGACCAAATGTAGCTGATTTAAAGCTAATTTCCTGCAATTCTACACATTTGTCCATGTGGGGAGGTAACATATTGCAGTTTTAAAGCTAATTTCCTGCATTTCAACACATTTTGCCATGAGGCTGAGAGAAAAACTTGCGGTTTTTAAGCAAAGTTCCTGCAATTCTACATATCTTGCCATGGCTTATGCTATCTGAGTGACTCAAACATAACAAAATCAATGGGGGCCCCTTGCCATAACAAAAATACTCCTGAATGCATAATTCTTTGAATTTTAGATTCTCCCTGACTGTTCTTTTGGTGATTGTTAGTTCTCAAAGATTCTTAAAAAAAATATATATATATACTTCGGAAAGTATTCAGACCCCTTGACCTTTTCCACATTTTGTTACGTTACAGGCTTATTCTGAAATGTCCCTCATCAATCTACACACAATACCCCATAATGACAAATAAACAATATGTTTTTAGACATTTTTACTAATTTATAAAAAGAAAAAAACTGAAATATCACATTTACATAAGTAGTCAGACCCTTCACTCAGTACTTTGTTGAAGAACCTTTGGCAGCGATTACAGCATCGAGTCTTCTTGGGTATGACGCTACAAGCTTGGCACACCTGTATTTGGGGAGTTTCTCCCATTCTTCTCTGCAGATCCTCTCAAGCTCTGTCAGGTTGGATGGGGAGCGTTGCTGCACAGCTATTTTCAGGTCTCTCCAATGATGTTCGATCGGGTTGAAGTCAGGGCTCTGGCTGGGCCACTCAAGGACATTCAGAGACTTGTCCCGAAGCCACTCCTGCATTGTCTTGGCTGTGTGCTTAGGGTCGTTGTCCTGTTGGAAGGTGAACCTTTGCCCCAGTCTGAGGTCCGGAGCGCTCTGGAGCAGGTTCTCATCAAGGATCGCTCTGTACTTTGCTCCGTTCATCTTTGCCTCGATCCTGACTAGTCTCCCTGTCCCTGCCGCTGAAAAGCATCCCCACAGCATGATGCTGCCACCACCATGCTTCACCGTAGGGATAGTGCCAGGTTTCTTCCAGACGTGACGCTTGGCATTCAGGCCAAAGAGTTAAATCTTGGTTTCATCAGACCAGAGAATCTTGTTTCTCATGGTCTGGGAGTCTTTAGGTCTCTTTTGGCAAACTCCAAGCGGGCTGTCATGTGCTTTTTACTGAGGAGTGGCTTCCGTCTGGCCACTCTACCATAAAGGCCTGATTGGTGGAGTGCTGCAGAGATGGTTGTCCTTCTGGAAGGTTCTCCCATCTCCACAGAGGAACTCTAGAGCTCTGTCAGAGTGACCAACGGATTCTTGGTCACCTCCCTGACCAAGGCCCTTCTCCCCCGATTGCTCAGTTTGGCCGGGCGGCCAGCTCTAGTCATGGTGGTTCCAAACTTCTTCCATTTAAGATTGATGGAGGCCACTGTGTTCTTGGGGACCTTCAAAGCTGCAGACATTTTTTGGTACCCTTCTCCAGATCTGTGCCCCGACACAATCCTTTCTCTGAGCTCTACGGACAATTCCTTCGACCTCATGGCTTGGTTTTTGCTCTGACCTTATATAGACAGGTGTGCCTTTGCAAATCATGTCCAATCAATTGAATTTACCACAGATGGACTCCAATCAAGTTGTGGAAATCTCTCAAGGATGATCAATGGAAACAGGATGCACCTGAGCTCAATTTCGAGTCTCATAGCAAAGTGACTGAATACTTAAGTAAATGAGGTATTTCTGTTTTTTATGTTTAATACATTTGCAAACATTTCTAAAAACCTTTTTTTACTTTATGGAAAACGTCAAGGGGTCTGAATACTTTCCGAATGCACTGTGTGTGGGGAGGGAGGGAGGGAGAGAGGGAGAGAGAGAGGGGGGCCCGAAAAAACAGTTAGGTGGCCCGCCCAATATTTTTCTATACATAAAAAACCCTAGATGATGATGGTAATGGTAACGACGTGGATATACGTTTTCAGAGGCATCATGCCCATTATTGCATTATAAAGCGTTTGACATATTGGGCTGAACTCCATTCACCACCAATGTGCAGTTCTATAGTTTAATGTGTCCACTGTTGTCCTTGACTGCGTGTGGTCACCTGGATCCATGGCTATATGAAACGGGCCGACCTGAACCATGACGAGAAGTTGAGCTACGAGGAGGTCCAGGGGCTGCTCACCATGATCAACATTGACCTGAATGAAGAGTATGCACGCAACCTCTTCAAGGTGATCAGACCATAGACAGTGTTTCCCCTAGATTCATTTCCAGCCCTATAGCAACATCAAAGCTCACTGGCACCAAAATTGCCAAAGAAGCCAAACTCTTTTAGAAAGGGAGGGAGTTAAAGCTATGTGGGGAGCCCGCCTCGCCTATGGTAGGGGAAACATTGGATATAGATTAGCATCACACTGCATTGTCCTTACGTCTCAAATATTTGTTTCTGTCCTGTCCATCCGATAAATAGCTCATTTAAAATGATACTGTATGTCTGCAAACTGATACATCATACTCAGAGAGCAAAACTTTGAAAATGTAAATCTATGGCTGGACTCAGTGACAAACATTTCAGTGACATTTCAGCTGTAGCTGATTGACTGATTGATTGAATTCATTGGACAATTTTTTAAATACATACATAAGGGCGCTCCAGCTGGTGACACCTCCACATACAAGTTTAAAAAATCATCAACGATAATACAATAAAGCTTAAACGCTTATTTCCATTGTGGTCCTTTTGAGGAGGGCAGGGGGAAGGAGGAATGCAACAAGGTTATGCGGCAATTGTAATGGCAACGGACAATGACAAACAAAATTGTTGTTTGTTTCATAACATGAGATAATTAGTACAATTCCCTTTCCTAATAAACAACTATGGACAGGTACATCTCCCTTGTCTCACATACCCTTAATATATAAAACAATCAATCCCTAATATGTAGAAGACAATCACAATATGATACACACTAGGCACCAAAAGGCAGACCATATGCTATCCCGGGCATTTCCTTCTCAGCCACGTACTATAATCTTACGACTCACTTTTGAGACATGCTACTATTTAGCCATTTTTTCAGTGAGAACATCAAACTACAGATGGAGGTTATAAGTTTCAAATTCTTCAGAAGACTATTCCAAAGAATGGCAGCTGAGTATAAAGAAGTGTATTTCCCCATACCACTTTTAAATCTAAAAGAAACAACGTCAGTTTCACTCCTTCTAGTGGAATAGTTATGGTTATCCCGTTAAAGTAGTTACATAGGTACCTAGGGACCATACTGTTGACAATCTTGTGTACAAGACACAATTTGATCTGATAGACTCTCTCCTCCACTTTGAGCCATCTAAGGCTTTCAAAGTGGGAATGGTCAAGATGCGTAAGTGCTGGAAGTTTAAGAATAATCCTGACTCATTTGTTCTGAGATGTCTGCAATTTATTTTGTATTATCTTGGGGGCACTAATGTACCAGGAAGAGCACGCATAGACAAAGTGGCACTGAACAAGAGCCCCTGCCAATGCCCTCATTGCATTCTTATCCAGGTATTTGGAGGTTCTTGCCAGAAACCTAATTTTATGGTTCACTTTGGAGATAAGGTTTTGTGCCATTCTCTCCCCTGTCAGATGGTTATCTAGCACACATCCAAGATAATTAACAGAGTATTTTGCTGTGACTACTATGTCACCTACTACCACCTTAAAATCAGGGTATTTCATCAGTTTCACTTTGGACCCGAACAAGATGGACTCTGTTTTTCCAAGGTGAAATGACAGCTAATGGTCATATAGCCATTTACTGACATTCAGAAGTTCAGCACTGAGGGCTTTCTCAACAACATTTTTGTCTTTGTGGGAAACCAACAGTGCAGAATAATCTGCATAGAGGAAAAGGTCACATGTACAGGCAGATTTCAGATCATTTCTATACAATAGAAAGAAAAGTGGACCCAGCACACTCCCTTGGGGTACCCCGCAGTTCAAGGTTTTAGGTTTAGACAGGGTCCCGTCCACAGCCACCATCTGTTTTCTTCCTTGCAGATAAGAGCTAACCCGTTTTACTGCTAAGTTGTTAAAGCCCATGCCTCTTAGTTTGATTAACAGAATCTCATGATCCACTGTATCAAACGCCTTTTGGAGATCTAACATAACCATAACACAAAATGTCCCTCCATCTACTTCCTTCCTTATGTGGTCAGTTAGATATAGTAGGCAAGTGTCGGTGGAATGGGATTTCTTCAAGCCAGATTGGAGCTCATATAATAGGTTATGTAAGGAAATATAACTGTCAATCTGCTCGAACATCATCTTTTCCATGACCTTCGATAAAACACACAGGATTGAGACAGGCCGATAGTTTCCATGATCCAACAGATAAGGAGAGCTTGACTCCAGAAAAGGTGTTTTCTACGAGAGGACTACACATCCTTCATCTCAACGTTAGAAGTCTTCTTCCCAAAATTGAGGAAATGTGCCTACTATCCAGTAACTGTTAGGTGGGAGTGCTTTGCTTTACCGAAACATGGTTAGATGGTTAGATAAAAAATGCTGAGATTGAAGTTGAAAATTATGTAGTAATTAGAAGAGACTGCAATCACAAAGGTGGGGGAGTTTGTATTTATGCAAGATCAGATATTGGGTTCAACTATAGATCAGATTTGGCCCTGTGTAGCTCAGTTCATAGGGCATGGCGCTTACAATGCCAGGGTTGTGGGTTCGATTCCCACGGGGGGGCAGTATGAAAATGTATGCACTCACTAACTGTAAGTCGCTCTAGATAAGAGCGTCTGCTAAATGACTAAAATGTAAATATCTAACTTATTCCCTTTTTGATATAAAGGAATGACCCTTGCAAGTTTTAGTTCACTGGGAAAACACCCTAGTTCAATAGACATATTTACAATGTGAGTTACACAGGGGGTGATAATTACCGCAGCATCCCTTAGAAATCTGGCAGGAATGTTGTCAAGGCCAGTTGCTTTGGAATGGTCAAGTTCTCTCAACTTCTTTAGTACAGTTGACTCAGACACCTTTTCAAATGAAAAAGCATCTACTTGAATCCCCTGCTGTGAGTAAAACTGCTGGACATGACTCTCCCCATAGCAACCTGATTGAAAAGGTAACTTGCTAACTAATGTATTAGCAATGGTTGTAAAATAGCATTTAGACTGTCAGCAACCATGGTCTTGTCTGATGTAACCTTTCCTCCAATGTCCAAGCTAAGATTTCGAGTTTTGGTCTTTAATCTGTTACTGTAACCTAACAGCTTCAGACACTTCCATAATTTACTTGGATTGTTCCAATTTTCAACTATTTTGTCATTAAAATAATTTTTCTTGGCCTTCTGTATCATCCTGTTGACCTCATTTCTTAATTTCTTATAGTCTAGAAATATATAATCTGCCCTGGATTTCCTGAACTCCAGAAAGCGTTCATTTCTACGCTTAATTCCCTTAAAAATGTTATTGTTTTTCCACCTCATTGCATTTCAATACAGCAGACCAGGCCAATTTGCTCAAACAATTAACAAAAATATTTGCACTATAATTCTTCATAGACCTACTTTTTATTGAGTTATGACAATTCAAAACTGTTTTCTGAACCTTCCTACTACAGAAAATGATGGAATGATCACTGAGCCCATAGTGCACAACCCCACTGTTTGATATCCTTGATCTATCCGACACCAACACAAGGTCAATGATGGTTTGGGTAGAAGGACAGACCCTGGTGGGCTCATTAATCAGCTGTAATAAAGCAAACAGATTACAAAAATTCTTAAGAGCTTTAAAAGTAGCATGGCCCTTTTTGAGCATATCTGTATTAAAATCACCTGTAACAATAACCTCTGATTTACCAAAATCTATACAGTTGGAGCAAGTCTCCTCCAACAATTCATAAAACTTGTACTGGTCTGGTGGTCTGTAACAGGTTCTGACTATAATGGGTTTTCATTTTGGTAATAAAATGTCCAACCACACAGCTTCAATCTCATCATGGCTTAAATTTTTTAAATTTTAGTCATTTAGCAGACGCTCTTATCCAGAGCAACTTATAGTTAGTGAGTGCATACATTTTCATACTTTTTTCATACTGGCCCCCCGTGGGAATCGAACCCACAACCCTGGCATTGCAAGCACCATGCTCTACCAACTGAGCTACACGGGGCCAAATCAGAGCTATAGTTGAACCCAATATCTGATCTTGCATAAATACAAACTCCCCCACCTTTGTGATTGCGGTCTCTTCTAATTACTACATCATTTTCAACTTCAATCTCAGCGTTTTTTATCTAACCATGTTTCAGGAAAGCAAAGCACTCCCACCTAACAGTTACTGGATAGTAGGCAAACTTCCTCAATCTTGGGAAGAAGACTTCTAACGTTGAGATGAAGGATGTGTAGTCCTCTCGTAGAAAACACCTTTTCTGGAGTCAAGCTCTCCTTATCTGTTGGAACTGTCAGACGAAATTGTTCACTTGAGATGAGTGTTGACTCCATGCAGTCAAATCGCAGCAGTGAAGCTCCATCCAGGGTTCGCACTGGCATCTGACCAGGGGTTTGCCTTTCCGGGCCCCTGCCCCTATTAACGGGCCGCTCCACGTCCATTCGGCACAACAGACTGTCTCGACCGGGGCCTCCCTCGGCATCCTCTCCTGGTCTCCCCGCCGCGCTCGGACAGCAGATGGAAGCAGGAGGATTTGATTGGTTGTCATGATCAAGGTCTGAAAGTTCTCTATTTATTATGCATACCTGAAAGAGAGGGTTGTTGCTCCTTCCCTTCTGACCCTCTCTATTATAGCATGGGGCTGCTCCAATGGATTTATCGCTAGAAAACGGGCCAGGGCACTGATGAACATCTCCAGACAGTAACAGGCATAGAGTAATTATGAGGTTTTCACCATCTATTTTGCGTTTACCCCCGACCTTAATAGCCCTTTTGGAGGGACTGTGCCAGCTGAAATATACAAACGTGTTAAATAGGGTGTATTCCCCGTGGCCAAAATGCTTAGTGCCAATCTGGTCTTTGAGCCTGATCTTCTGATTAAAACTGCATACTTTGTCAAAAGGATATCGACTTGATGTACAAAAAGGGCCAGTATCTATAAACGGTAATATAAAACCATAAATTAAAAACGCTGCCAACACGCCTAACTTTCCAACTGCCATCTTGAAAAAAGACCTTGCCTGAGAATTACATTTACGTCATTTAGCAGACGCTCTTATCCAGAGCGACTTACAGTTAGTGAGTGCATACATTATTATTATTTTTTTTTCATACTGGCCCCCCATGGGAATCAAACCTACAACCCTGGCGTTGCAAACGCCATGCTCTACCAACTGAGCTACATCCCTGCCGGCCACTCGGAAGGCACAGTTAGAAGCTTCCTCTTGAGAGGACAGATAAGTTGCTAACCAGTCAATGTTCAGGTCACCCATTATTACACACATGATCAAGCGTTGCACACATATTATCCACCCCATGACTTGTTTGATATTGATGATTCAATTCATGCTGATCCAATTGACTGTAATTAAAATGACGTTGAAATTAATGACTGTGACCAGGGGACTATTTTATTAGCTGGCATTGAAACAATAACTTTGACAATATTAATCCATTGACTTGATCACTTTGGAAACATACCCGCCCTCCTCCCATCAGAAGTGTGACCGGTCGTGTGACGGTCGTCTGGACCACGGGGAAATCGAGGTGTTCTGTAGGGAGCTGCTGCGGCGGCCGGAGCTGGACGCCGTGTTTAGCCGCTACTCGGCTAACGGCTGTGTGCTCTCCACCGTGGACCTGAAGGACTTCCTGAAAGACCAGGGAGAGGACTCCTCGCTGATCCACGCTCAGAGTCTGATCCTCACCTATGAGCTCAATGAGTGGGGTACGCTTACGTGCTAATGGTTGTGCTAAGCGACACTCAGTGCTAACTAAGTGTTACTTAGTTAGCACTGAGTGTAGCTAATGTGTTAATTTAGCTATGCTAAGTGCTACACTACTCTAAGTGCTAAGCTATGCTAGTGCTACACTATGCTAAGTGCTACACTACGCTAAGTGCTAAGCTACACTAGTGCTACACTACGCTAAGTGCTAAGCTACGCTACATGCTAAGGTACGCTAAATGCTAAGCTACCTGTATGGCCAAAAGTTAAGAGGAAGTTAGGGTCTTTTTAGATTGGAATATAGCCCTTTTCTCACTGCCTCCATACTATTGCTACCACCCTCTTTAAAACTTCAGCTCATCTTATTGGCCCCAACATGTATCCAAATTAAATTATTTTTTTACCTACATTAACACAAGCAAATCAATGTATATTTTGGTACGTTGTTTTTTCTATCGTTCCCATACCAACCATGTGCCTATGCCCTGCACAGCCCAGAAGAACGGGTACATGACGCCCAATGGTTTCACCATGTACATGCTGTCCAAGGAGAACAACGTGTTTGACCCGGACCACGCCAGGGTGTACCAGGACATGACCAGATCCCTGGCACACTACTTCATCTCCTCCTCACACAACACCTACCTCACCAGTGACCAGGTTACTGGCTACAGCAGCACGGAGGCTTATATCAGGTAAACACACACATATGAAAATGTATGCGTGCATGCATGCACACGCAGAGGCATGCATGTGCATATGCATTCACAGGCATAGACGTACGGCACACACACACCACATCACCTTTTATTGAGCACTACAAAATACACACTATACATGTGTTTTAAGTCTGTGTGTTTATACTGTATGTGTTTGTGTTAACATCACATGTATGTTAACGTGTGTGTGCGTTAACGTGCGTTTCCTCTGTCCCAGGGCTCTGAACCAAGGCTGTCGCTGTGTGGAGTTAGACTGTTGGGATGGAGACAAAGGGGAGCCGGTCATCTACCATGGTCACACACTCACCTCCAAAGTGCCCTTCACAGAAGTCATCGAGACCATCGCCGAGTACGCCTTCAAAGTGAGCTCCAATACTCCATTAGCAGTCCAGTACCCCCTAAATTAGACTAGTTTGCAAGATTACTAGCTACTGGTATTTGTTTAGGTATAGACAGAAACAAGTATTACATTAGTCTCTGGGTGTGCCTTTTTTTTTAAAGGGGGGGGGGGGGGGGGTGACATATACAGTGAGGGAAAAAGTATTTGATCCCCTGCTGATTTTGTACGTTTGCCCACTGACAAAGACATGATCAGTCTATAATGGTAATAGTAGGTTTATTTGAACAGTGAGAGACAGAATAACAACAACAAAATCAAGAAAAACATATGTCAAAAATTTTAAAAATTGATTTGCATTTTAATGAGGGAAATATGCAAAACATGACTTAGTACAGTGGGGAAAAAAAGTATTTAGTCAGCCACCAATTGTGCAAGTTCTCCCACTTAAAAAGATGAGAGAGGCCTGTAATTTTCATCATAGGTACACGTCAACTATGACAGACAAAATGAGAAAAAAAATCCAGAAAATCACATTGTAGGATTTTTATTGAATTTATTTGCAAATTATGGTGGAAAATAAGTATTTGGTCAATAACAAAAGTTTCTCAATACTTTGTTATATACCCTTTGTTGGCAATGACACAGGTCAAACGTTTTCTGTAAGTCTTCACAAGGTTTTCACACACTGTTGCTGGTATTTTGGCCCATTCCTCCATGCAGATCTCCTCTAGAGCAGTGATGTTTTGGGGCTGTCGCTGGGCAACACGGACTTTCAACTCCCTCCAAAGATTTTCTATGGGGTTGAGATCTGGAGACTGGCTAGGCCACTCCAGGACCTTGAAATGCTTCTTACGAAGCCACTCCTTCGTTGCCCGGGCGGTGTGTTTGGGATCATTGTCATGCTGAAAGACCCAGCCACGTTTCATCTTCAATGCCCTTGCTGGTGGAAGGTTGTTTTCACTCAAAATCTCATGATACATGGCCCCATTCATTCTTTCCTTTACACGGATCAGTCGTCCTGGTCCCTTTGCAGAAAAACAGCCCCAAAGCATGATGTTTCCACCCCCATGCTTCACAGTAGGTATGGTGTTCTTTGGATGCAACTCAGCATTCTTTGTCCTCCAAACACGATGAGTTGAGTTTTTACCAAAAAGTTCTATTTTGGTTTCATCTGACCATATGACATTCTCCCAATCCTCTTCTGGATCATCCAAATGCACTCTAGCAAACTTCAGACGGGCCTGGACATGTACTGGCTTAAGCAGGGGGACATGTCTGGCACTGCAGGATTTGAGTCCCTGGCGGCGTAGTGTGTTACCGATGGTAGGCTTTGTTACTTTGGTCCCAGCTCTCTGCAGGTCATTCACTAGGTCCCTGCGTGTGGTTCTGGGATTTTTGCTCACCGTTCTTGTGATCATTTTGACCCCACGGGGTGAGATCTTGCGTGGAGCCCCAGATCGAGGGAGATTATCAGTGGTCTTGTATGTCTTCCATTTCCTAATAATTGCTCCCACAGTTGATTTCTTCAAACAAAGCTGCTTACCTATTGCAGATTCAGTCTTCCCAGCCTGGTGCAGGTCTACAATTTTGTTTCTGGTGTCCTTTGACAGCTCTTTGGTCTTGGCCATAGTGGAGTTTGGAGTGTGACTGTTTGAGGTTGTGGACAGGTGTTTTTTATACTGATAACCAGTTCAAACAGGTGCCATTAATACAGGTAACGAGTGGAGGACAGAGGAGCCTCTTAAAGAAGAAGTTACAGGTCTGTGAGAGCCAGAAATCTTGCTTGTTTGTAGGTGACCAAATATTTATTTTCCACCATAATTTGCAAATAAATTCATAAGAAATCCTACAATGTGATTTTCTGGAGAAAAAAATCTCAATTTGTCTGTCATAGTTGACGTGTACCTATGATGAAAATTACAGGCCTCTCTCATCGTTTTAAGTGGGAGAACTTGCACAATTGGTGGCTGACTAAATACTTTTTTTCCCCACTGTACTTGGTGGCAAAACCCTTGTTGGCAATCACATAGGTCAGACGTTTCTTGTAGTTGGCCACCAGGTTTGCACACATCTCAGGAGGGATTTTGTCTCACTCCTCTTTGCAGATCTTCTCCAAGCCATTAAGGTTTCGAGGCTGACGTTTGGCAACTCGAACCTTCAGCTCCATTCTATGGGATTAAGGTCTGGAGACTGGCTAGGCCACTCCAGGACCTTAATGTGCTTCTTATTGAGCCACTCCTTTGTTGCCTTGGCCGTGTGTTTTGGGTCATTGTCATGCTGGAATACCCATCCACAACCCATTTTCAATGCCTTGGCTGAGGGAAGGAGGTTCTCACCCAAGATTTGACGGTACATGGCCCCGTCCATCGTCCCTTTGATGCAGTGAAGTTGTCCTGTCCCCTTAGCAGAAAAACACCCCCAAAGCATAATGTTTCCCCTCCATGTTTGACGGTGGGGATGGTGTTCTTGGGGTCATAGGCAGCATTCCTCCTCCTCCAAACACGACGAGTTGAGTTGATGCCAAAGAGCTCAATTCTGGTCTCATCTGACCACAACACTTTCACCCAGTTCTCCTCTGAATCATTCAGATGGTCATTGGCAAACTTCAGACGGCCCTGTATATGTGCTTTCTTGAGCAGGGGGACCTTGCGGGCGCTGCAGGATTTCAGTCATTCACAGCGTAGTGTGTTACCAATTGTTTTCTTGGCGACTATGGTCCCAGCTGCCTTGAGATCATTGACAAGATCTTCCCGTGTAGTTCTGGGCTGATTCCTCACCGTTCTCATGATCATTGCAACTCCACAAGGTGAGATCTTGCATGGAGCCCCAGGCCGAGGGAGATTGACAGTTCTTTTGTGTTTCTTCCATTTGCGAATAATCGCACCAACTGTTGTCACCTTCTCACCAAGCTGCTTGGCGATGGTCTTGTAGCCCATTCCAGCCTTGTGTAGGTCTACAATCTTGTCCCTGACATCCTTGGAGAGCTCTTTGGTCTTGTCCATGGTGAAGAGTTTGGAATCTGATTGATTGATTGCTTCTGTGGACAGGTGTCTTTTATACAGGTAATAAACTGAGATTAGGAGCACTCGCTTTAAGAGTGTGCGCCTAATCTCAGCTCGTTACCTGTATAAAAGACACCTGGGAGCCAGAAATCTATCTGATTGAGAGGGGGTCAAATACTTATTTCCCTCATTAAAATGCAAATCAATTTTTAACATTTTTGACATGCGTTTTTCTGGATTATTTTGTTGTTATTCTGTCTCTCACTGTTCAAATAAACCTACCATTAAAATTATACATTTTACATTTACATTTTAGTCATTTAGCAGACGCTCTTATCCAGAGCGACTTACAGTTAGTGAATACATATTTTTTTATACTGGCCCCCCCGTGGGAATCGAACCCACAACCCTGGCGTTGCAAACGCCATGCTCTATCAACTGAGCTACATCCCTGCCGGCCATTCCCTCCCCTACCCTGGACGATGCTGGGCCAATTGTGCGCCGCCCATGAGTCTCCCGGTCGCGGCCAGCTGCGACAGAGCCTGGATTCGAACCAGGATCTCTAGTGGCACAGTTAGCACTGCGATGCAGTGCCTTAGACCACTGCGCCACTCAGGAGTAAGACTGATAGACTGATCATTTCTTTGTCAGTGGGCAAACATACAAAATCAGCAGGGGATCAAATACTTTTTTCCCTCACTGTAGAGGGTTAGGCTAGACAGATAGGAGTGGCCCAGACAGAAAATCGAACCATCGCCTGGGGTGATGAGTGGTTGAGAGTCTGCAGCACTACCACTAGACCAGACTCCGGCACCAAAATATCTGTCCTGAATTAAGATGTAATAATTTTCCAACCTCTTTCTCTCCCCTCCACTTTCTTCTCTCCCGCTGCCGTCTCATCTTCCAATCTTCCAGGCGTCTCCGTACCCTCTAATCCTGTCCCTTGAGAATCACTGCAGTGTGGAGCAGCAGGCGGTCATGGCCCGACACTTGCGCTCCATCCTGGGGGACAAGCTGCTCACCAAGCCCCTCAATGAACAGCAGCTTCAGAGCCTGCCCTCACCAGAGGTGGGACTACTACTGGACTACTACTATACATTCCTATACTACACTACGCTACACTACTACTATACTATAATACAGTGGTTCTCAAACTTTTTGACACGCAACCCCCAAAAAGGATTGGTTCAAAGCTCGAGACCCGGTGATGCATTTTCAAAACGCAAGATACAGAAATAAACTGTGTTTTCTTCCTCACAAATATCGTAATAAATTTTCCAGAATATCTCTTCTTCTCTCTCTCTCTCTCTCTCTCTCTCTCTCTCTCTCTCTCTCTCTCTCTTAGTCTCTGTCTCTCCTCCTTTCAGCCAAGAACGGACACACACACTCCTCTCTGCTCCTTAGGGAGAGTGCTTTGAATGGAATTTCATTATTTATTCTTAAAATAGCTGCTGACTCATTGGCTCTTAGTCACTAGTGAGGATTTCAACTTGTAGTACATTTCTCTCCCTGTTTTCGAGTGTTAGCAACTGTTGTCCACAATTTAAAAGCTAGCATTTGTAAACAATGGCCTATTGAATAATAACAATATTGAACTCTGCTAATGGCCCATCTGCCATTCCTTTCTTACAACATCAGGAGTGTGTGTTTGTGTGTGTGTGTCAGGGTTTCCGTTAGGAAAATGTGGCGCAGGACATTTGACCGGCAACATTTTAAATTACCGGACATTTGAGAAATGTACCGGACCAATATGCGTTGGGTGCGTAATCTGATTAGGGCGTCCACCCACGGTGCTCAGAATGACAGAAATCACATTTTGCTACATAATACCGGCTCGATTCGGTATTATGTAGCAAAAATGTTTTTTTTTTTTACATTGGGTAAAAGTAGAGACTCAGAGCTAGAAAATGGTATATCATACATACACTACAGTTGAGGATCAATGGGAAAGTAATTCTACTTTGAATGTTGATAAACATGTAACCCCACTTTTGAGAAAATGGCCCTTGAATGTTTTGGTACACCTACTGGAGAGCTCTTCTTTGTCTACACCCATGCAGCATCATTCACACCCTCTTAAGCCTTAGCCCCACCCATTTCTTTAAGGATTCACATGTGATGCCATGTGCTAAACAGAGTGAGTACGGTAGTGTACTAAACAAAGATTTCAAGACTAAAGGCTGGTTTATACTACGTCTATCGCCATGTCTGTATACAGTTGTCGCAGTGACATCATGTATTGTCGTCCAACATCAAACTTGTCATTTGTAGTATAAACACAAAAACGACAGGCTGCATGACATCAGCAGCCTGGTGTTCCAAAATAGCATAACTGGTGTATTTTAACACCAATAAACCATCTGTTTAGAAATGAATTTAGTGTATGTCAACCTAGCAAACCAGGCAACTAAAAGCAATTTTCTAAACAATATTTTGTTTAGTTTCTAGCTTGTTAGCTAGCGAGCTAACGTTAAGTTAGCTGGCTAGCCAGTTCAAATAATGACCATATCATATAGCTGACAACATCTTAACTTTAGCTAATTTGTATTCATTATTACAGGAGAATAAACTCACAACAAGATCATTATTTACAAGTTAATGGCGAGCTAATTACAGAAAATAGCTTACGGTTGTGAGTGTGACAAAATAAAAGCAGGGCATTCTACCGGAGAATTTTAGAACTTGGACACTGTCTCGTTGGCCTAACGTTATATCCTAATTTGACTTTGGTGCAGGTCATGTTTTTCTTCACATTACCGTCTCTGGTAAACACACACTATATCAAATAAAATCAAAGTTTATTTGTCACTTGCACAGGATACAGAAGGTGTAAACGGTACGGTGAAATGGTTACTTGCATAGTGGAGTCTTTTGTTTAGACATGTAGCAAGGTAGCTAGCTAGCTAAACAATAAACCATAATCCCAACTCATAACGTTACTACCCTGCATGAATCTACAGGTAGCTAAAGCTAACCAACTAGGTTCAATGTTAGCTAGCTAGCTAACATTAGGCTATAACTAGCAATGCAAATGTCTCTGAGATATGAATAATATTACTACACAGATCATACACGTAACGTTAGCTAGCGAGCCAGCCAGCTAACGTTAGCTAGCTAGCTAACAGTATGCTTTAATTTGCAATGAAAACGACTTTCTGACAAAATTAGAAACGTATAGTATCGGAAAATGTAGCTAGCTAGCTTACCCGTATACATGGAAAAACACTCCTCCCTCTCACAGATGCCATGTTAGCCCTTAGTTTGAAGATGTAATTTTCTATTTTACCTTTATTTAACTAGGCGTGTCAGTTAAGAACAAATTCTTATTTACAATGACGGCCTACACCAGCCAAACCCGGACGACGCTGGGCCAATTGTGCGCCTCCCTATGGGACTCGCAATCACGGCCGGTTGTGATACAGCCTGGAATCGAACTAGGGGGTCTGTAATGACGCCTCAAGCACTGAGATGCAGTGCCTTAGACCACTGCGCCACTCGGGAGCCCTTCGTGATATCTTTTAAAAAATCCACATTAGAAAGGATTACCTACACATACTGAGCAGCTCATGTTCTAGACAGTCGCGTGCTACATGGCAGACCAATCAGAACTCATCTCTCGGCATGTCCAGCCCATTCATTATCTCAGCCAATCATGGCTAGCGGGAAGGTTCCTGTCTTTTTCTGTGGCTAAACCAACTAGGATCGTAATTTAACAATCGTATTTGTATTTACAGATGGCATACAAGTTTGTTATTAAGGCACATGGAAGTTCACATGTTGCAGAAGACATTAATGCCATAAAAAAAAAAAATGCCTCTCCTGTGAAGTAGTGACGCGCGACATATGCCTAGTTTCCTAAAACGAGTCATATTTAGAATATGTTAATTCATATTAAAATAATTTGCAAGTCGAGGATGCAACGATGTGCGGTCCTTCATAGCGAATTCTGATGTGCACTTTGAACATGTTAGAATAACTGTCCACATTTACTTTTTTTCAGACAACAAGATGAGTAACGAACAGTAAAATCACTAGTTTATGTCAATCTACTATAGTAGAAAGGTTTAGGCTACCTATTCTATTGGTTAGCTTGTCGAGAAAGAAATCCTATTCCATACAGTTGTGGGTCAAATTCATACAACCAGTAGGCCTAGGCTACATAAAAAAAATAACTTTAACAAGCAATGAGTCTGATGCAACAGATCAGAACATTTAGCTTAAAATGTTGATAAGCTATTATTTCTTCACATTATAAGTGCAGCAATGCGCAAAAGACAGTAGGCTACACGCAAATGTTCGTTCCATAATGCAATTAGCGGGGAAAAACATTGTCAAAAGTCCACTGCACATGCGAGCGGTTTCATGTGACAGAGATAAAAATATCTGTTAGAAATTCTGAAAGAGAAGAGATCTAATAGGCTACTTTGAAGCAAGGTAAGACATGCCTCATAATATGTATTAAAACATTCAGGTTAAAACAAATTAAGTATATGTTTTCCAAATGCATACTGCCTCCAGCTCATTACAAAGTGGTGTGTGACGCACTGATGAAGCCTGCCTTCCGTTGCCGTTTGATGCCACGTTCAAAACAACTGGGAACTCAGAATTCTCAGACTTCCGACTTCAGTGCGTTCAAGACAACTGGGGGAAAAAATTGCTCCAACTGGGAAAAATCGTTTTGAACGGTCATCCAACTCGGAATTCCAACTCGGGACCCGGGCCACTTTCTAGAGCTAACTAAACTGAAGATCACTGACTTCAATACTTGACCTCGTATTTTTCAGAGTTCCCAGTTGTCTTGAAAGCACCACAAGATGCTGCAGCAGCAGCTCTTGCCCTGTCTGACAGATTTTCCACTCAAAGGCTCTGTATGCTGTACGCGTGTGATAAATAAGATAAGGAATAAACTGTACACGCGCCAATTTAATTACACAAAATTATGGAAATTGACCTATAGACGATAAGCATGACCAGTCAAATGTATTTCCATCTAATGGTATTTCCATCAACGAATAGGCAAAAAAGCATTGTTTCCCAATGGAATTTTTTCTTCTTCTCCCGGACAGTTGGCCGGTGCCAATTTTGTTTTCAGGCTTTTCCATTTTTTTAAAGGACAAAAGCCGGCTATTACCGGCTAACAGAAACCCTGTTGTGTGTGGGTGTGTGCAGTGGTGGAAAAAGTACTCAATTGTCATACTTGAGTAAAAGTAAAGATACCTTAATAGAAAATTACTCAAGGAAAAGTGAAAGTCACCAAGTAAAATACTACTTGAGTAAAAGTCTAAAAGTATCCGTTTTAAATGTACTTAAGTACAGTGGTGGAAAAAGTACTCAATCATCATACTTGAGTAAAAGTTAAAAGTAAATGTTATACATCAAATTCCTTGTCAGTAGCTGAGTGTAGATGCGGTGAGGAAATCAAGCGCAGGAAACACGGGCGTTCGTCAACAGACTTTAGTTAACAAAATGCAGCACCAAACAGAACCCAACCGGGAGGCAAAATACAAATTACGCACAACACACACAGTGCATAAAATGAAGATAGCGCACACAGTGCGGACTCTCGGAAAACAACAAACACGAGAGTAATACAAAAAGAGCAACAGCTTGACAATAAACAATACCACATAACACCTGCCCCCACACACAAAAACTAAATAGGCAACCAAATCAAACACTAACAAGGGACAGGTGTACAAACAGACAAAACCAAACAAACATGAAACATCGAACGGTGGCAGCTAGTACTCCGGGGACGACGACCGCCGAAGCCTGCCCGAACAAGGAGGAGGAGCAGCCTCGGCCGAAACCGTGACATTCCTTATGTTAAGCAGTGGTGGAAAAAGTACCCAAAAGCCATACTTGAGTAAAAGTAAAGATACCTTACTGGAAAATGACTCAAGTAAAAGTGAAAGTCACCCATTAGAATACTACTTGAGTAAAAGTCTTAAAGTACCTGATATTAAATAGCCGTAAGGTAAATGTACTTAAGTATCAAAAGTAAAAGTATGAAACGTAAGAACCGTAAATCCAAAAAGCAAAACAGCCAGACCTTTTATTTGATTTGA